TTCTGAACCAAAGTATTTTAGGTCTAACCTAATCTAAAGGGAAAAAAGATATCAGCTTTTTAATTCTAAATCTCCTACGTCATAGGGATAAGTAAAAAATAATTGAGAAATTCAAAGAAAACAATAAAATAAATAAACACAAGAATTAATGTGGAAAACTCCAAACATTATTACAATTACGTAGATTTCCCTCCTTATATCTTTCTGATGTACGACAACTTCCAGCACTTGGACACTTTTAATGTGATACAACTTCCATTCCAATATTTTTCAAAAACCCAACCTTATTAGACCGTGCTCAAACTCGAAATCAAACATTTTGACTGGGGCTCGTTATCTGGGTTGTGCAACACAGTGGCCAATATAAGACTGGAACACAATACCTCATGGTAGGTGACACCACGAGACCCTTTGTCTTTGCCACTATGTCATTCCAAGGGACTCTTTTTCTTTACTTATTCCTAATCTATTCAAAAACATTTTCAAATCTAAACCATAATTTAGAAGTGTAAGTGCAAGTAGCTCATGTAAATCCAAACATATTTCAGTGGATAAAAATTACAGGTCACCATTTTAAAGGTGGATGGATAGTCAATCACCAACTCCACCATGTTAAACTGAAAAAAACAGTGAGTAGTTCATAAATTTAATTTTTAACAGTAATCAACTAAAAACAAAAACAAATTTATAATTTGAATAATTATAATCTTTGAACATCTAAGAAAAAGTCAGTTTATATATGGGAAGTTAGAATATTGATTGTCTGAGTTACATATGTTCTCCAAAGTGAAACAAACTTCAGGCACAGATGAAAAAGTCAACAGCTAGAGGGGGTAGGTAGAAACTAAAAAACAACATGGAATAAAATATCTACTTTTGAAAAGTATAAAAAACGAGATATTTTTGCATGAAGATGAATAATTGTCTTGTTCATGATAATTTGTTTTAGATTTATAATTACTTTAGAACAAACATTAGTTTAATTTGATGCATTCAACTTTTATATTTGTTTTAATTTATTTTGGTTTTTAAATTCATAAATTTTCTATTTAAATCATTCCATTTTGAAATATTTTATTTTAGTTCTTGGCTAAAATATTCACTAAAAGCTATTTTAGTTATTATCATTAATTTACATTTAGAAGCTTAGTACTCTTAAGAGCCTTAGATAATACTTTCGCTTAATTAATTTTGTTATCTTCCAAGAAATTTAATGAAGGAAGATGTCATTATTTTGATCAAAATAAATACGATAAAATGAAATGAAAGCAACAAAAAATGATTACTTTTTAAAAATATAGAGTCCAACACGAACGTTGAAAAAGTAACGGAATAAAATGAATAACAGTTATATAGATCAAAATACACATTTTAAAAATAACGGGACCAAAATAAATCAAAGTTAAAAATATAGAGACTAAAATAGTGTTTAAATCTAAATCTTATGGTCAGTTGTTTGGGCGGGACTTTTTAATTGCTATAAAAAAAAAAGGTGTTGTATAAAACCCAATAATTCGTTAGGAAAATTCCCATTTAAGTGGGACTAATCTCCCATCTAATTTGGAAAATTTCTTTAAATGGTGGAATATATTTCTCTCTTGATTACGCTTCAATACTCATGCTAATTTTAACCCTTGTTTGATAACATTAGCGTTTGTTGTTCGTTGTTAACATAATTATATCTAGTAACTATTTGTTTTTCTTTCTATTAAAAAAGAAATAAGTTGTTTCTTGTTTTCTCTATTTTAATAAAAAGAAAACATAATTATATTTGTTTGATCAAGAAATGACCAAGTCTCCAAGCTTCGCATCGGATAAGCGAACTATACAGAGAGTCCCAGTTGCCGTGCAAAGGACCTACAAAACAGAGTACAAACTCCGATGCTAAAGTCAGCAAGCGTTCAAATCAACTCGAGAGAAAATTAGTTCGTTCGATCACACCTCAAAATGAAGCGGAATGGTCTTATTTATAGGCAAAGTCCGCAACAGGATTTTCGACAAGACCTCAACGGCTCTTTAAGGTTGCCGTGAAGTGCGGCGTGATGTCGTGAAAATTGTCGCACCTCAAAATGAAGCGGAGTGGTCTTATTTATAAGCAAAGTATGCAACAGGATTTCCGACAAGACCTCAACGGCTCTTTAAGGTTGCTGTGAAGTGCGGCGTGATGTCGTGGAGTTTGTCGGAGAATGGGTTGAGCCAAAGTAATCCAAGACATACGTTTGGTCAGCATACATGTTCGGCTCGACCTAAAAATTCATTGCTGAGGTAAGCACACTTGCACGGAGCGATATGTGTACTGTTGGACGAACCAAGACTTGCCACGTGTCGGTTGAGAATTCACCTCAAACAATATTCCATGATTATTTTTTCTTATTTATTTTTAAATTGAAAAAGAAGGAAACCGTGTTAGTTGGAAATCAGATGGAAAAACAAGATTTTTTTTAATGTTTATAAATTTTGTACACCATTTTTGAAATGTTTGAAAAAAATTGAGAAACAGTAAACAGAAATAGTTCTGAAATACTTATTTTCAATAAAGTATATTGCTATAAATATATGTACCCTTAAATGGTAAGTATTTATATATTTGCGCATTAAATTTGTATGACGTCCCTCGATCATAACGGTATTTTATACTAAATCTAAAAGAAGATAGATAGTTATTAGAAATTGCCGTTTACTCCCGACATAATTATTTGATATCGTCATTGACCAATTGTAAATACATATAGAAATTTCAAAAAGTATTTATCCCATTACACTTGGAAACTAACCTAAGGAACTATATTATGTTACTATCATAGTTTCGTTAAGTACTTTAATTTAAGTAATGGTGAAACAATTAGTTAAAACACATCGCTCCCATGAAAGGATGTGGGTTCGAATACCCACCCCAGATGCACATGTTGTATTATAAAAAATAAATTAAAAAAAAATCATTTAAGTAATCAACAATAAGATTTCGTTTCAAAAAGAAAAAATATAATAATTTGAAAGAGATTTTTTTTCCCTAGCAAATGGATTCGTTATAGTAAATCCCATAATTACGAATCAATTAATAAATTAGTATGGTCATAAATTGACAAATATATCAATTTCCATAGAAAAACTTTATTTTGGAAAGTATAAATATTTTTAATGGATTGTTTGTTTGATTTTTTTCCAAGCATGCAAATCCTATCTTTTTTTCTTTTTCTTTTTCTCTATTTTTTTAAACAAATAAAACAATTGACCATATGTCTATTAGTAATCTCGTGCAAAGTAGTATCACGTAACCGTCGATCTAAAAAATATTAAAAAAATAACATTACAAAGTTTATTTAATAAACAATGCAATTAAAATTAATTCTTGAGTTAATTTTAAGTAATAAAAACATATTAAAGTAAAAGTAAACAAATTATTTAACTATTAAGTAATAAGCAATTCATGATTAATTATTTATTAATAGCTGATAAAATCACATTGAAATTATCTTAGTCCTCAAAATATTTTAACCGATGGAAAAGTGATTATATGTTCATTAATATACTACTATGAGCATGTATGGAACTTGGAAGCTACATCCACGGTTTTTTTTTTCTTTTTCTGTTGATATCGGTTTGAACTGTAATTTTAAAAAGTAATCATTTTAGTATATATTTCTAAAATTTTAACAAAAAATTTATAACAATCTTTCAACTATAAGTATTTTTATTTTTTCAAAAAAGAAAATTATAAGTATTTTTATAATTGTGTAAAACTTTTCTTCGGAATTTTATCTAGGATTCGACGGTCCACTGTCTCCCAAAGATATTCCTTGAGGTTTCAAGCCACCCAAACTATCATTTGAGGACTTTCATAGGAAAATTACCTCTCAAACTTATAAAATAGTTGGAAGTAAATAATATCATTATAAAATAATGACAGTTGCAAATATGACAAAAAAAATTTAGTAAAATTAGCAAAATAAAAATAACAGCCCCATCCAATTAAGCCATAGAAATGATAACTAATTCAATGCTTCTCTTAGAAGTACTTTAAAGTAATTTTTTATTGCTTTTACAACTTTTAAACTATTGGTTTATTATCTAACAAAATAATTAACTAATATCAATTAAAAAAAAGGGATAAGGGCACTTTTAGTTTTGCCATTTTAAAACTCATTCCATCATTTACATTTTTTTTTCCTTTAATTTCAATTTTGAAGTCATTTATACATAGTTAAAAATGTTGAACTTTAAACCCTTCACTTGTAATTTTCTGTTGATAAGAATACGGAGATTCCAAAACTCAGGAACTTTTAAATGGAGAGAAGTATATTAATTTGTTGAATTAAGCTTAAGTTGACATTTGATTATTGCAATTATATTGTTAATTAAACTCATGTTGTCATTGCAATTAATAAAAACTCAATGTAATGGAGTCATAAAACATGCACAGAGATTTCACATCTTTAATAACTCAACTTGAAACTTGGAAAGTATGGTATTATTTGCATAGCCACCTATACACTTGAGGTGTTCCTTTCTTTTTCAAGTCTATTTTTCTTAAATGTAATAAAAACTAAAGTTTTAAATGTCTATAGTGATGGATAGAAAAAATGGATAAAATATCCTAATGGATATTTCTATAGAACACTTTTAAAAATAAAAAATACATAACAAGTATTTAAATTAAAAAATAAGCATTTCACCATATCTGTACCTATAATATTCATATTCATGATGTTTTGTTGATACTTTTACCTCTATTTGTGATAGAATTAAAATATCGATTTACGGCTTCTAAGGATGGACATATACGAAAATATGAATGAAAATATCTTCACGTCCGACCTATTATGTCAATACCCGGAAAGAGATTGTGTAATTAAAATGGTGCATTTAACCTAGAGGAAAACTATGAAACCGTCAGTTCAAAGATACTTAAATTGGCTCTCACTTTGGCAGCTAGCATCACCCTCCCTCTATAAAAGCAGAAATGATCTTCAGAAATTAGCATAAGAGAAAGAAAGAAAGAAAGAAAAAAGTTTAATATTATTGTAAAATGGAAGAAGTGACAGTTGTGATCGTCGGCGCCGGCCCTTCTGGCCTGGCCACCGCCGCCTGCCTGAACCATCTCTCCATTCCCAATGTCGTTCTTGAGAAAGAAGATTGCCATGCCTCACTGTGGAAGAAGAGAGCTTACGATCGCGTAAGCCTTCACTTGGCCAAGGAATTCTGCTCCCTTCCACTCATGCCGCACTCACGCTCGACACCGACGTACATGCCCCGAGCCACTTTTGTCAGGTACTACTTCGTTGGACTACCACTTGATCTAAAAGTTTAAAAGGTGATAATGGTGTGTTTATTATACACTTTACTCTTGTTTGTCAAGTTATTCATTTTCGTGGTTTTGCATGTCAATACATTAAACTTTTTCAACTTTCTCAATTTTATGTTTTTGAGATACTAGTTAGAGATTAGTTAATATTTTTTAGGGTCCTTAATAGATATGAGATTAAAAGTTTATACCTATATCTGCTATAGGTACTTTTGATAAAATACCATGCAGCATTAATAATAACAAAACTTGTAATTCAACTATAGATTTTTAAGGTGCACGACATATATCCAAAGAAATAACATTTTTATTTCGATGGATTGAGAAGGTACTTGGACAAGTACGTGGAGAAGATGGGGATAAAGCCGAGGTACATGAGGAGTGTGGAGGAGGCGAAGTGGGAAGAGGGGGAGAAGAGGTGGAGGGTGGAGGCGTGGAACGGGGCGACGGGGGAGAGGGAGGAGTACTCGGCCGAGTTTCTGGTGGTTGCGAGCGGAGAGAACGGGTTGGGGAACGTGCCGGAGGTGGCGGGGATGGAGAGCTTCGGCGGAGAGATTATTCATTCGAGTAAGTATAAAAGTGGGAGAGAATTTGAAGGAAAAGAAGTTCTTGTGGTGGGATGTGGGAACTCTGGGATGGAGATTGCTTTCGATCTCTCTAACTATGGAGCTCACACCTCCATTGTTGTTAGAAGCCCTGTAAGATCTCTCTATACATTCTCCAACTTAACCTTCTCTCTCCTTTCCTAAGTTTGATATGGATTTTTCTTTTCTTCTTTTTCACAAAAGTTTAATTAATATGGAATTTAATATTWTTAAAATAGAGAAGTAGACTTTAAAATTTGTTGCATGCATGCATGCAACATTTACAGTTTCCCCCAATCAACCTAGATTTATGTGTCCTACTGGTCCACTTTACTAATTCCTTTTGTCATTCTAAATTCGTTTTATTGTGTAATTAATATTATTGTTAAAAATATAACATAAATGATTCAACAAAAATTTATAATAGACATTCACGTATTSAGATCCGTAAATATTAATACGATATCAAAGTCCATAAAGTCCAAATGAGTATCTGATCTAARAATAGAATCCGACGAAGATTGATGAACCTAAAACAGACACCCTCTTGAAGGATAGGTTGAGAATCCTACGTTGAAAGATAGTTAGGGACTTTATCAACATTGATAATTATCATTATAACTCACTATCGTGTAGACTTCATTAACGAAATAATAATTTCCATTAATAACGGGTTGGATTGAACTCTATCTCTCAGTGAGAGAAAAACTCAGGTAAGACTTCTCTTTTTTTCTCATCTTTTATGTAATGTCTTTTATTTGCATTAGAAGAGACAAAATCCTTCTTAAAAGTTTAGATTTTTAATGATAATTAGCCTAATATTTGAAACTCAATAATTATCAATTCACCATATAATATAACCTCTCAATAATTATTAATTCACCATATAATATAACCTAGCCCATTGAGCTCTACTCCCTCTAAATATTATAGGCTGCAATATGATATTTGTCACTCTATATATATTGTGGGCCAAAGCTCGTCGTTACATGCATTTGTATACGATCGATGTTTAAGGTTTTATCTTCACCTGTAAATCAAGTAATGAGGACACTTCACCTGTGGAAGTCCTACACTCATTCATTTATGGCACTAATATTATTCTTTTCTTTCGAATACTTTTTTAATTATTCCACTTTTAAATATATCTATATTCTCCTTAGGTATGGAATTAGTGTGTATTGTTTCATGTGCATCTAACTAAAATACAATTTTTTTTTCATTGATTAAAAGTATAATAGATTTTTTCTTTAGATTAAAAACCAATTAAATTATTAGTAAAAATAAATAATAATCACAAGATTTTGGGTAAATTTTAAATTACTATTTTAGCCCATGGAGTTAAGTTTGACCCAAAATGATTATGTTTTGTTTTTCTTGAAGTGTGGGGACTTGAACTTCTAAGAGTTGATATACCTTCATTTTCAAACCACATAATCGTGTTGACAGCCTATATAATTTTGTTAAATATCAAAGAATTTCGATAAACTTATTGACAATTTTCTTACTTAGCCCATTTTTTAGATGCATAACATCATGTTTTTTTCTCCTACATCAACGAACATTTAATCAATCCATAAACATAAACATTRTAAGAGAGATTTAACAAAATAAAAAACTTCTAAAATATTATTATAAAAAGATCACTAAATCGAGTCAAGCAAGCTTCATGTATCCAACACTCATATGAAATGACAATCACATTGAATTATTATTTTAATTAAGGTAATAAATATTATATAGTTATTTTATTGTAACGATGAGATGTTGTGGTGTTGAAGTTGCACGTGCTGAGTAGAGAAATGGTGTATATGGGAATGAGTTTATTGAAGTATTTGCCGGTCTATGCTGTGGATGCTCTTCTTACGATGCTCTCTAAGCTCAAATTTGGCGACATGTCGGCTCACGGGATATGTCGGCCGAAGATGGGCCCTTTTCAACTCAAATCCGCCATCGGGAAGACGCCGGTTATCGACGTCGGAACTCTATCCAAGATTCGGACTGGTGAAATTAAGGTAATCGGTAATCGCTGAATTTACTGTGTGTTTGTATATTTTCGAAAAAAATCAATGATTATAAATTTTGATATAGTTGGATTGAGTTCAAATAAATGAGAACGTCACAGGCTAGATTAATTTAATTGGCACTTAAATTAGTTTGGTGTAAACTTATTATTTTTTTTTTAAATTAGATTTTTCTTTTTTAGTTTTATTTCATTACATAACTCTTTTTAGATTATTTACTGTCCACAAGCTTTAAAAAAAAAACTTTATTGTCATTAAAATGTGATTTTTCAAAAAATAATGGAAACACCTCGCTGGATAACTATTTTGTTCTTACTTTTTAAAAAATGAAGCTCTTTACTTCCACATATGTATTCCTTTATCTTATTTCAACCTTTTTGAAAATATTTTTAAAATTTAAGCTAACTTTTTTGGAAGAAAAAAGTAGGTTCTAAAAGTTGGGTTCTTTTTTTTTTTTTTTCTAAATAATATTTTGGTAACAATTTAGATGTGTCCTGAAAAAATAAGAAAAACATACCCAAAAATTTGTGAGAAAACAAGCACAATTTTTTAAAACAGAAAACTTATAAACGAGATCCTTATGAAACCGTACCGGAACGTCTTATAGATTTAACTTTTAACACTTTTACCTTTTTTTTAAATAGAAAATTTTTGAATAAGTGACCATAATTATTCGAACCAAACTCAAGCCAACCCACATAATCTTAGATTGAGATGAGTTGAGTTTATTTTTTAAGAGTTACTTGAGTAGAAGAAATTTACTACTAAATAATTAATTAGGGTCTAAAACATACCTCATGAACCTAATTAATGATCACCCCTAACTTCATTTTTTTATACAACATGTAGGGTGGAGGATCGAACCCACAACATCTTGGTTAGATATATATGGTCAATTAGTGTTGAGCTATGTTTGTTTTGGCCCCTAATTTCATTTTAATTTTATAATGTTTTATTTTCAAAATTATAAATAAATTTTTAATGTAGAACACTTATTTTACATAATATTTTTTTAGAAAATAAAGCCAGCATTTTATTGATGTTGGATGTCTTATTTCTTGACGGTGAATGAAACTTAAAAGTTTATAATCCAAATTTAAAGAAGATTTCTAAAAACTTTCAGTCATTTTTAGATGTTTCTAAAACAACTTGAATTTTTTGATGACTTTAGATCATATTTATAGAGATCTCGATATATAGTATTGTCAAAATTTTAAATGTCGATGTCTCAATTTTGTGGAAATTAAATATCCATAAATGTCAATAAATATATATGAAAAGGTTATAAAAAGAAAAAATTCATAACCAATAAACATTTCACATTTTTTAAAAAATTATAGAATATTGATGTCGAATATGTAAAAATATTGATGGAAATTTCTATACAAAATTTAATACGAGTTTGTTGCTTGGTGGGTAGGTTCTTCCACAAATATCAAACATAAATGGAGGAACCATTGAGTTTGAAAATGGAGTAATCAAGAGATTTGATGCCATTGTCTTTGCTACTGGCTACAAAAGCTCTGCTAAAAAGTGGCTTCAGGTATATATTATTACCATAATTATTAAAGTTTCTATCATAATAATTTTGAAATTACTTTTTAAATTTTTGTAAGATTCTATATCCTTTATTTTAAAAAGTAGATTAAGCAAAATATGCTAGTAAGAAAAATATGAACTTTCAAAATAAAAAATGATCAAGGAAAAAGTCCTTATTAAAATAGCTAAGAAAGTGGAAATATTGAGTTATACTAAACTAATTATTATATAGTTTTTTTTTTACTAAGCAAATAAATCAGTCACATCAGAAAGTCACGAATAAGGCGAGCATGAAACTCTTTTATCATTTTTAAGAACAAGTTTTTGAACGATTTAAAGATTTAAGGTATGAGTAATTTCGTGAATGTAGGATCACCAGTTTGTATTAAACGATTCGGGTATGCCCAAAAATCGAATTCCAAACCGTTGGAAGGGAGAAAAGAGGGTATATTGTGTTGGGCTATCAAGGCAGGGGCTAGCTGGAGTTTCTGCAGATGCAAAGGCAGTAGCAGAAGACATTAGCAACATTTTAGACAAAATATCTGATAACTAATGATATATGGCTTTAAATTTATGTTCTCCAATATGATCAACGTTTAGCTATCTCTAAGAGCAAATAGCTCCTTTTCAAACCTATGTAAAATATTTTTGTGTGGAAACTGGTTTGGCTCATGTTTAAATTAGTTTTATATATTTGTAGAAGTCATGGAACCACCTAGTTTAATATGAACTCTTTTGTTTACCTCTGTCTATATTTTTTTCTCTCTCTTCTTATTGGTCTTGCTTAAGAACCCCTAAAATTTAAAATTGGAAAACTAAGAGTGAATTTGACGTATCTTTCACGAAATTTTAAATATCGATGTTGGTAGAAATATCAGATCTCAATTTGATAGAAATGTCGGTAAAAATATCAATAAAACATATCGATTTCGATGTTCCTGTTGAGATCTATGATTTAAAACTCGTCATTAGTAAACTATATTATTATTTATTGAAAAAATAATTATTTGATTATTTTTTGAGAAAAATATAAAAAAAAATTTGATGAAAGAAAATATATGGAGAAAACAATGAAGGGCAAAAATGTAAAAAATGGACGCCCTCAAGACGGTAATCTTGGAAACCCATGTTTCAAAAAGGTATCCAAAACTCATAAGATGCCTCCCGTATGGGCATCCTAGGATACCCAGACATCTCAAAATTCTCGGGTATCCTACATTCCCATAAAACAAAGGTGGGAATCCAGATGCCCGTCTAACGGGAATCTCGGATTCCTACGAAACAAATGGCCCCTTAGAGTTTTCTTAAAATCCTAAATTTAAACAAATGGAAGTTCAAATCTAGTAAATATTTTAATTTTAGCCTTCAATTTTTATCGTAGGCAAATTTTGTCAGTCAATTTTGATAGTTTTTTTGGATAATTAAGGTAGGTATCAAAATTTGGCTACCATTTAAAAAAATTGCCATTAATTTTAAATTTTGCCCATATGGCTAAATCATATTTTAAGAATTTTTAAACATGACCATATTTTTTTTGGTCATTTCTATTTTCAACCATCTAACAAACTTGATTTTGAAATCAAATTTATTTTCCTACCTTCACGAGATGTTAAGCTAGTTTTCTAATCTTTTATTATATTATGAACACCTATAACTTTCTTACCATCACTTGAACGTATCTTTTAAACAATTTCAAAAATATTTAGTTATTTTTGTCCTCCAACACGTTATTAAGATTTGCTCATATCTAAGATAAAAGAATTATCAATTAAAATTGCAAAGGGTTATAAAAATTTTACTATTTAAAATTACCAATTACCAGAATCAATCATTCCTCACTTTCTAAGACTGTCTCTCCCAAATGAAATGTTTCACTACATGAATTTTGACCTTTGGTGATGCAAGAAAGCGTCGCCAAAGTTTCCAATTTCATTACTAAAATCGTTGTTAGAAGGCCGTCGCGAAAAGTTTTTGGCGACGAAATACCAAATTCGTCGCCAAATCTCCTCTTTGGCGACGAAAACTATTTCGTCGCTGAAAAGAACATATGGCGATGAAATGAAGCAAGTTTTATTTTTTTAATTTATTTTAAATTTTTACAATATTTGCATTTTCCTGAATAAATAGAAATAATTTCAAATTTCATATAAGTTCGAATTCCATATTCGTGGTATTACAAACATTGGTCTTAAATGTAACACAAAAAATTCATTACAATAACTAAATTTAAAACCTATTCTAAACAATCTCATCATCAAGTCATCTTTATGAAGCCTTCTCGCATCTCCAAAAACTTATATGAACGCACCTGAAAAAACAATTAACAACAAAATTATGTGAACAAATTAGTTAAACTATTTCTCAAAAACTAATTTGCAATATACTTGATGTCTAACTCACTCCACGTGCCATAAACTCTGAAAACTAAGTATTCAAAGTGGTTATAATTATAACATGGTATAACTCACAACTTTCATTTAAAGTTGAGAAATATAAAAGGTTATTGCCCAAACTAACTAAAAAAACATGGTTATCTAAACTCATTCAAACTCAATACAAAATGCACAAACTAAGGAAAAAGTATATATAAGAGCACCCTTCCCCTCCCCCAACAAAAACTCATCAATACAAATTTCCAATTTACATAATTTACTTCCAATAAGTCTTAAAAGCTTGTACACACTCTATCCAAATTGCACAAAGTAAAAGAAAAGTATAAGAACCCTCCCCTCCCCCCTCTCAACTATTCCATTCAAAGCTAAAAAGAAATTCATCAACACAACCTTCAAATTCACATAACTTACTCTCGTTATCTAAAAGTAAGAAAAACATGCATACTCACCCACCAAATTGCACAAAGTATAGTCATTCAAGGAACTCTCTAGGTTGGCAATTAATCCGAACCTGTCGATTACTGAGTTGCACAAAGTCAAGGGTAGATCATGTGTTTCTACCATGAAAACTACGAGTATCCTTAAGTGAGACTACTTTCGCAACATAAGTGGGAACTGTGTTTAGGCAAGCTTCCTTACTTTTTTTCTTTCATTTTCTTGCCACACATTTTCTTTCGTGCTTGTTTTTCTTTTTCCGCTTATTTTTCTTTCTTCTTTTGCTTTTCTCAAATATTTTTCCATCTCTTTTTTTTCTTCCTGTTTGTTTATCTTCTTTTCTTTTTGTTTTTGTTTTTCCACACATCTATCTTATTTTCAGCTTACTGAATATTCAATTATGCTTGCTTAAACTACTACCCAAAACTTGAAGGGGACAATGTCCTTACTGACAATGTGTGAAATTCTGAATATTCAATTATGCTTGCTTAAACTACTACCCAAAACTTGAAGGGGACAATGTCCTTACTGACAATGTGTGAAATTCTTTTTCGAAGGTGCTTAAAAATTTTGACCACTAAAGGACAATGATTTTCTTAAAAAATTTAAAAAGTTAAAGTTTAGTCACAAAGAGGCAAATATAATTTTATCAAAAGAACGTGGCCAATGACTCATAACTTTATCTTAGCAGTAGAAAGTGAAGCTCATGCATATTCCTAATTTTCATCATTGACATGAGAAAAGAAACAAGGAACTAAAAAATATGGCAAAGCCAATATTTTACATACTTAAAATTAATTAGACAATCATTGCATTTAGTTGAAGATTCACAAAACGAAAAGTCTAACAGCAGATTATATTTTTTAAGAAAAGATTTCAGAAAATAAACCACAAAAGAAAAGTACTTCCTCCATTAAGTCAGTTAAACCTATCCCGTCAATACCCACTTGCTTGGAGTGCGGGTAAGCGCTCACCTGTTGATTGTGTTGTTGCATGCTTTTTGGTAGAGCCGCCACCTCCCACGGCTACAGCCAGGTTCTTGCTCAGCACAAAATAAATGAAAATAAATAAGTTCTAGAATTAAAACAAAGTGTAAAGTAAGGAAATAATTCACAAAACGGGTGCCCCTCCAATCAAGCTCTAAAATCCAAATGAGAGGCCAAATAATTTCTCATTCATGAATTTAAAAAGAAAATAGATGTTTTGCCTCTATCTACTTGATTTCCAAAATAAGGTTTTACCTTTGACCATTAACTTTTAAAAATATTACTTGCATTATCTTCCAAGTCTATGGCCCCATGAAGATATATACCTTTGCAATTTTGAATGAGCCGAACCATTGAGACTTTAACTTATCGGGAAACAGTCGAAGTCTAGAGTTAAATAACAATACCATCTTACCTACTCGAAGTTGCTTGGGCCTTATTCGCCGACCATGCCACTGTTTTGTTTTTTCGTTGTAAAGTTTGGCATTTTCGTACGAAAATTGCCTGAATTCTTTTAACTAGTTTACTTGTAACTTCCGTTCTTCACCTACAGAAAAAAAGTCAAAATTTAGTTTTTTCATAGTCCAATATGCTATATATTCTAATTCTACAGGAAGATGATAAGCCTTACCAAATACTAGACGAAAAGGAGACACACCAAGATGGATCCACATGGATTGATAACTAAATACCCCAACAATTACTTAAGAAACCAAACAAATTAACAAAAATAGTTTGAACAAGAAAAAATAAAGGACATCAGACAAAATAACGCATAAGTGATTTACTGAGCAAAATAAATCAGACCCAAGCAAGACCCAATCGATTAAAGAAAGGATGTGCAGATAAAGGTTAACTACTGGTTTTAAAAGAAAAAAGGGTAAAGGGGAAGAGTTTATGTGACTTTATGGGTTTACGTGAATAATGCTCTAGCATTAACGATGTTGATAAACTTGCCAAACAGACATGGAGTTTTCCAAAACTTCCCAGATTTTCTGCTATTAGGGTTTTAGACAAACTCGGCAGCATATTAGTTCAATATATAACCTTGCTAGGTGAGCCCTATTCCTAAGTACTCACACTCTAACTCAAGCAGATCTAGCATGAGTTGAGGCCAACCACTCTTTATTACAATTTTCCAAGAGTTAACAAGGAGATATCCCAACATATTGAAAATAAACTATTAAGAACAACTTCAACTCAATATTCACCATCATTAACACCAATAACACAGTTTACAGCCTAAGAAAATAGTTCATAACATCTTCCCCTCATAATGAGATTTAGCTATGCATGACCATAAAAAGGAAATAGAAAATAAACAATAGAGAACACAATACAAAATGGAGCAAAAGGTGAAGAGCGGGAGCTGAAGTATTTAGCTCCAAATGAGTTTTCTACTCTCCATCCCCGAAGCTTCAATGAGTCTCTTTCCCTTCTTGTCTTCTTCGAATAGCCTTGGGAGGTTTCTTGAAGTGAGAGTGAAGTGATTATCGAAAAAAGTCCTTGGAGGCTTCCTTAAATGCGAGTATTTATACCCCCTTTGTATTTAGGGCAACAAACAGATAAAGTGGCCCCCCAGCTCTCACTTCCAGTGATTATCTGAATTACTGTGATAACTCCCAGAGTAAAGTCCTATCACTGTCAGAACTTGTCGATTTCTGCTCCTCTTTGAATACAATGCTATAGCATCAACAATGCTGCAACAAAATACCCAAAAATTAGGCCATTTTCTTTAACTCTAAACATTATCAACAAAGTTTAGAGAAGATACAAAATCATGCAGCCTTTGTACAATATCAGTGTAGAATGTGTGCTAGATAAGCTTTCTTTAG